CTCTCTCTCTCTCTCTCTCTCTCTCTCTCTCTCTCTCTCTCTCTCTCTCTCTCTCTGTCCCTCCCTCCCTCCCTCTCCCTCTCCCTCTCCCTCCTTCTCTCCCTCTCCCCCCTCTCTCTTTCTCCTCTCTCCTCCCTCTCTCTCTCCTTTTCCTTCTCCCTCTCTCCCTCCTTCTCTCCCTTCTCCTCTCCCTCTCTCTCTTTTCCTGAGAGTTGGGAGACAAAGCCCCCACCTTCTCCGTACCCCAGGGAAACTTGTCCTGTTTCTTGGGCTCCTAGCCAGTGGCTTCTGTTTGTGCATAGTAATGGTGGTCTTAATGATTTTGATGCCTGCCTTTCTGTGTGTTGAGACAGGAGTGTGTGCATGTACTCAGGTGCTCATGGTTGTATGACAGGCACTTACCCACTGAGCCATCTGGCCAGTACCAGATGCCATAGCAACGCTTACAGCTTGGGCATGAGGGAACTTGGACATGAGGCCAGGCAGGGATTGCCATTGTTCTGGTACTTGGTGGAAATATCACCAGGCTGATCCAGGGGGCTGAGGTGCTGTGTATGTGGCCCTGTTCTGCTTTGCACCCTTCTAGACCAAACTGCACCTGAAGCATGCAGGCTTTGGGGGTGGGCCAGCCAGGTGGAATGGAGACCTGCTGGCTACTGAGTCACTACGAGGCACGTTGGAATGGTGGCAATGCTAATGTAGCCATCGGTTGGAAAGGAACTTTTGGCAGTGTTGCCCCTTTGTCTCTGTCTGTTCACATAGACAAACAGGGTCTGGGGATATTCCACTTGAGTCTGCCCCCTCGGGGCCCTGGAATTGCTCCTGCTGAGCCTCTTTGGAATGCTGCAGTCCCTCCTGGCAAACCTGGTCCTTCAGCCAGAAAAATGGCAGTGGCTACCCCACCAAAAGCCTCAGTTTCCTCTTTCCCTTCTGGATTTCCTCCTTGGGGAATGTGCCCAACATCAGCAAGCATTTAGGCTTTATTCCCCTCACACAGAGGCCCCCAAACCTGCTCAGTCCCCTGCCCTGCTGTCTGAGACTGTCAAGGCTGAGCACTCCTAGAGGCCCAGGTTGGCAGGCCAGAAGAGAGGCCACACTATGTGCTGTACAGATGGCACCAAGCCACTTCTCTGGGGACAAGCAAGGTGGCTTCTTGTCCAGCCTCTGGCTGCTCTCAATTGGGTGGATGATTTAGACGTGGGACTGGTTCTCTTTGGTTTTGTACACTTTATAACCTGGGTCCTGGGACTCAGGGGGGGAGGGGCCAGTAGTCAAGTTCAAACAGTGGTGACTGTGTCATAGTGAACTCTCCAAAGGTTGGATGACTAAGCAGGGCTTGGCTGTCACACTTTCTCTTCTTTTAAGTGACTTTACCAATAGGACTGCTTCGTCTGTCCCACCCCTCCTCCCTCCCCTAGGGCTGAAATCCTGAGGTGGGAGCAGTTCACATGTTCCTGTGCATGTGTAGGTTCATGTGTGCATAGGTATACATGTGTTCACAGGCATGTGGAGGCCAGGTGACAGCTTTGAATATCATCCTTAGAAACACTGTCCATCTGTTTTGAGAGATGGTCTCTCAGTGGTTTGGAGCATGCTAATTGGATTAGACCAGCTGGCCAGCAACGTCCTCTGTCTCTACCTCTGGGCACTTGGATTAAAAGCACTCAGCAACTTCCTTCTCTTTAAGGTGGTTCTGGGGATTGAATTCAGATCCCTGTACTTGAACAGCAGGTACTCTACTGACTAGGCCATTTCTCCAGCCCTCAATTTAATTTGTGAATATTTGGGTGGTTTTTTTATGTTGTCTGATACTTGTACTTCTTTCCAGGTGAACACTGTTTTGGGGAAATGTATTTATTTATATACTGAGTGACTTCAGTATCTGAGCTCCCCTCCCTCTATGCCCTGGGTATCGCTAGGCTAATATACTAAATTCCAGAAACTTCCATCGGGAGTTAAGATGAGGGATTTCAGGACTGTAGCAAATGGGCATGGCTTCTCCACTCTGCTGGCCAGAACTAGAAGCAAATGGGTCTACCTTCAGTTTCTATATATCCCCAAATGACAACTGCGCAGCAAACAGCCTCTGGCACACATAGGGTGAGGCTGAGCATCACAGAGCATTGTGGAGGAAATTATAGGCTCCATGTGCCAACCAAGGGTGGGACACGGGCTCAGAAGAGCACAGGGTTTGTCCCATGTGCTTTTTTTATATGTTGGGGGAAACATGCATGCCATTAGAGTAGACAGTTACCCTGGACCTTTCTTGGTAAGATCTTGTTTTGTTCCTTTTTCTTAAATTCCCCAAATTGGAAGAGTGGAGGGACCCGGAGATGTGGGAAACTGGGTCATCAAACACTTCTCAGGCATTTAATTTGGGTGGGACAGTGAAGAACACAGGGCCTTGGGTAGGAGGCCAGGATCCTGCAGTAGGGCCCACTTGCTTTCAGACTTTCCAAGTCCCTGAGCATGTTAGGAAGTATCTTAAATTAATTCCCTCATCTGTGGGACTGGGCTGAGCAATTGCCTGAGAATCTCCACATGCTGTTCTGATGGACAAGGAGAGGCCTTGGAGGCCTGGAGGGGAGATCCTGAGGATGCTTTCACGTTTTTAGGGAGCACTGTAGTCAGGGATCATTTGGTGATGCCTACCCAGACCAAGTGCGGAGTTGGCCCTCCATATCACAGGTACTGCCTGTTAAGCCAAAGGATAAAGAGACCAAAAATACCTAGGAAAACGTCAAGCATTGCGACCATGTATAAACTTTCTTCCCCAAACTGTTTACAAAACAGCAACAGTATGGCCACTATTTAAGCACTGTTTATGTATATAGTAATGAAGAGGCTGTTCTAAATGCATGGGAGGGGCTAGAGAGATGGCTTGGTGCAATTGTGACAAGCAGGATTCAGATCCTCAGACCCCACATAGGAAATGGACAGGCTTGGGGTTCCCTGTAATTCCAGCACATAGGAGGTGAGACAGCTTAGGGCAAGATGACTAAGCTAGGCAAGCTGAAACACTGAGAATCCCTGCCTCAAAAAATACAGTGAAGAACAATGATATTAACTTTGGACCTTTATGTGCACATGCATGCATGCTTACACGCACGCACGCTCACACACACACACGTGTGGGGACATGAGTGTAATGTCCATTTATAATCTATACCATGTCCTGTAAGGACTTAAGCATCTGTGGGTTCCAGTACAGCCGGGTCCTTGCTTCATACAGAAGGACAGATGCATTTGATTCTCTTGGGATGTTGCCTCTCAAGGATGCTGCTGTATCTTCAGATCCTAACCTTCTGCTTGCTAGGATCCTACAAAGAATCAGACATCTCTTCCTGCCCCTCCAGGGGCCAACCTGGCAGGTGACTACACAGCCTGTGATCCTTTCTTGGGAGTGTCACTGAACGCTTAGTGTGTCACTTAGTCCATAAACTGCCACAGGAGTGAAATCAAGGTTCTCAAGTTTGGAACATAAACTTTTATCCTTGTCTGTTTATAAAAGTCAAAGAGAAACATCAGCTGGAGGCAGGTGAGGGCTTTGGAACCCACAGCTTAGAACACCAGCTACACCTTCCTCAGGAAAAACCTCTGACCTATCTTCAAAAGGTATTTTTCAATGCCCCCTTTAGAAGGACAGAATGCACCCAGACACAAAGCTGTCAGGCATCCGCTTGCCTCGCCCTCAGCAGAGCTGCACGTTCCCAGGCCGTTCATCTGGTTCTTTTCTCATGAGATTCACTGTGATGACCAAGAAGGTGTGGTGAGGGCCCCTCTGGGCCCCTAGTTCCTACCCACCCTGCACACTCCTCAGATTGGCTGTTTACACTTCTGATTCCCCATGCTTCGCCCTGGCCAGTGTCTATGGAATCTGCCCTCCCTGTGTTTACTGGCTTGTTGAATTTAGTATCTGGAAGACTTTTCAAAAATAATGAACATAGAAACATCACCGTGGGGTTCTTTGTAGGGTTTATCACCATCCTTACTTGCCTAGGGAGGTAGTGCCCAGGTCAGGCATCCGTGGGGACTGTGGACTCCAGTCTGCTGAGATGAGAATTCAGGCTGGGCTCCACAGAAGGAGGGCAAGTCAGATTAGAGGGGAGAAAGTCTTTGAAGGTTCTGCTTGTTTACAAAGCAGAGGGAACATGGGCCTGCCAGCCAGCCAGCCAGCCAGCCAGCCAGCCAGCCAGGCCTTTCCTCATTGCTCACCTCCTTCAACAAAAGCTTTTCAGAACTTCAGACTGCTTCCCGATTCCTTTGTCTGCAGTTTTCTCACACGTGAAGCTGAAGTCATTCTAAAATTAGAAGGCTCACGTGTTTGACCCAGGTACATGGTTCACCTGTTTCAAATCTCTGTCTCTCACACAAGAGGCCTGCTGTGCCACAGCTCGGGATAAAACCACACACACCTGTGTGAGGTTGCATAGTGCTTGGCATAGAGGAGCAGCCGGGAGGAATGAGTCTTCCTGCCTTCCAAGGTGCATTCCTTCATCATCTACTTCCTCATTTTACCTGCTGTGTGTGTGTGTGTGTGTGTGTGTGTGTTTTATACATGC